TTAACGTTAAGCGGTTTTTGTTTGGGTCGGAAAAAAACAACCCATGGGCCTGTCGAGGCGTCTGGGTATGACTTATGGCGGGGGGCAGTTTTTGTTTTCTTGGCGGGGTTAGGCGGAGTAGGGGGAGACGGTTTTGGCGGTGTGGGGGGAGAGGGATTAGGTGGGGTAGGGGGAAACGGGTTTGGTGGTGCGGGGGGTGACGGTGCTGGTGGTGTTGGTGGCGATGGATTAGGCGGGGTAGGAGGAGATGGGGTAGGCGGTACGGGCTCCGGTGCTCGTTTTCGCCTGGGTCGCTTCGGGATGGTTCCGGTGTACTTCTTCACCGTGGCTGACGTTTCCACGTCGGACAGTTCGTCTTCAGTGGGAAGGGCAGGAAGGGTATTCCCCCCGCCATCACTATTACCATCCATTGCGGGGCAACTGCCACCGCAATAGATACAAAACAACTACACACAGGGAACACACAGGGACAAGAGAAAAAGAAGAAGAAGAAGAAGAAAATATTTGCGTGGGGTGGGAGAAAGGGGAAACTAAAACAAAGGGGCAATAAATAAAACTTATTCGCTACTTAACTACACCGGCACAAAGCGTGTGTGTGGAAACGCTGTTATCACGTGGTGCGTTGGTGTTGGTCCACGCTGCTATCCGGTGGTGATGGTTGGTGTTGGTGGGTCGGCAAGCTGATAAGGTGATACGACACGCTTCACTATCACTTGCACACCCTCGCGACGGCGTGAAAAAATGATGGACTTGACGACGCCGTTAACTCCGGTGATGGATTACCGGGATGAATTAAAGCTGGATGGTAACTCCAAGGGGCTCGGCCGATGGAATTCCACTTCCTCTGTTGGACACTGGTCACTTGAGGCACCCAATGGGGGGTGAAAAAAACCGCTCGTGCGGAAAAAACACCGAAAAAAACTAGATGCCGCGCAACTGAAACCGGGACGTTGTTAACCGACTGAATGCTCAACTAGGAATGATGTTACAATTTGTTACCCCTAACCTCGAGATAGCCGCGAGTAATCGGCCCCCGCTTTACTAACGTTAGTTTTAAGTAATTTTGTTATCTAAACAATGAATATCGGCTCCGCAAAGCTACAGCAAATGAGCCTGGAAAAATAAACGAATTATTAAAAAAAAAAAATAGCGCCCACCTTGCGACTTTCAGCCTTTAGCTGGTTCGTCTCTTTGTAGGGAAGGGGCTCCTGAGGGGGTCCCGGAGAGAAAATAAATAAATTATATAGTGTTTGTTACAGAGTTTAAGGATCTCACAGTTCTGTGTCGATTGTTGTCACAGTAAGGAAGGTGAACGATGTTGTGGTTAATTTCCGAGAAAGGTTTAACTTGTTTTTTTTTATTGCGGAACTGTTCGGTAAAACCACAGAGAAAAACTTTAAAACTCTGTGGAAAATTTAAAAATAAGGAAATTTATTCCGTACAGACTTAGCTCTGTTAACCCCATTTAATGTTAGAAAATAAAATAAGTCGATTTAATTGATTCCTTACGGATAACGGTCATTTGCATTTTTACTTTTTCAGCAATTAAAAAACCCAGTAAAAAATCTGTAAAATTATCTAAGTGTGTAGTCTGCACGAACAGAAATCTTTAAAACTACGATTTAGAAAATTTTCAAGACTCTTACTAGCTCTGATTCTGAAATTTGTTATTTGGACAATGAGTAACTCTGACTCACCGCGTGAATAAATTAAATGTGAGTATAACAAACTCATGATTCAAGCTCTTTTCCCGTTGTATAGCTCGAACCAGTGAGTAAAACTTACACGCCCACAATTTTTCTTTACTTACTGTTAAATGAATAAAATTGGTTTACTCACAAACTGAGTGACTCCACTTTATGCAATTAATCATTTTGTTCGACCATTTTCCACAAAGATGGCGCTGTTCCGCTGATAGGAAGTGATAAAAATCCCCATATAAAAATTGAGATAAGTGGGAATAATTCGCTTTCGGTGCATATTCAGGTCAAAAAAAGTGAACGACAACCTAAAGAAATTAATCAGGGACTTTGTCGGTCAGTTTTTTCCCGGAAATTATTGTTAAACAAGCTACAATTATAATGAGAGAGAGAAGGATTAGTATTTTCCATTTAATTCCACTACTTTATTTGCTTATCCTTGACAGATACGCGTATTTCGTCTACAATGTGCAGACTTCTTCAGTGTCTTGTACTAGTACTGAAGAAGTCTGCACATTGTAGACGAAATACGCGTATCTGTCAAGGATAAGCAAATAAAGTAGTGGAATTAAATGGAAAATACTAATCCTTCTCTCTCTCATTATACAGGTATTCCACTAAGACGCCCACATTCATCAGGAAGCTACAATTAATTAAAAATGATTTTTCCCCATACAGTTTTACCTGCTTTACTACCAGTTCCCAGAGAGCCAAAAAATTCAAATTTAAGAGAGAAAATTTGCTCTCACGACCTAAATTTCTCAACATGCCATGTATTTTGTTGACACTCGATTTGTGATTTCCCTTTCACAGATTACAAAATAGAGTACCTGATACTACAAAACATGTCTGGTGCCTCTATATATGCATTTGCTTTAACATTTAAGTCCCTCCTTTTTTACATATGCTGCGCAAAACATACTTTATGCCCCGCCCCATACATAAATATCGGCGGGAAATTCTGTGAGGGGTGAGCTATTTTGTGTGCAGAATGTGATAAATGTGATAAAAAGGAGGGACTTCGAATATTAATCTAAATGCATATATAGAGGTACCAGACATGTTTTGCACTGCAGTGTCCTCTGTGAACAATTATAGGAAAACAGATTGTGTCTACTTTCCGATAGATGTCACCGCAAACAACAGCTGTGACATCTGATGGAACATGAATGCAGAAGCTTGACAAAATGATCAATTATGAGTTGATTGTTCTCCATGAAAAACGTAAAAAAAAAGCGTTCAGAAACGCATTGATAATTACCACCTGAATTGATTTAATTTTTGTTCGATTTAATCTTTGTCACGAGCACAATATTTCAACCACATTCGATCTAAAAAGAAACAGTAATGCTCGATTGGCTCCCGCAAGTGACAAGTTGAATTGGCTCCCATCATTGTCTCTGCCAGATAAAAATAACTTTTTGCATAGAAGTCGAATCAATTTACGACCTTCCATAAAATAAAAAAATACCATACTCGAATGATAACCCATATGATAGAATGATTCCACAAATTGTTCGGATGACACCCTGAACCATGCACATTCTATTAGGGTTGTTCTGCATATAAAAGAGCAAAAAAAAGGTGTGCTGTTTTATTTAAGCATTCCGCTAACAACCCAATTTCATTACTTTATTCTTCTGCATAGTTTTTCCGATCTAAGGTTTGGAAAAAATTGAGCAATTTTGGATTTTTTGACAAGCAACTGAATAGTGTTACTCATTTTCAGTTGTTGATAACCTTAAAACAGATCGAAAGATCAGGGGGTTGTGATCCGTCATATAAACTTGAATCACCCTACTCAACATAGAAACAGATCAACTTTTTAAACTATTTTAGGAGATGTCAGCTCATATTTCAGTTAAGTTTTTTGCCGTAAATGTAAAAAAAAACAAACTTCCACTCAACTTCACGAAAAATCAGTAGAAATAACCCTCTTTTTTATGTTACCTTCATTGATTTTCCATCGATCTTGTTTTCTGTACTGAGTACGAATGCTACTGAAGCCAGAGAGGCAGCTCCCACACTTGGACTCTACCTATCGACCCATCAACTCATGAACCGGGGACCAACGGCTTTACCACAGACAAACAGACGTAACTCTTCATTGTGTATCTTCGTTCATGCATTTAACGGTTGATTTGAATATTATCAGTTCCGCGAACTACTCGCCGCAGCGCTGGCATCGGATCACTTTGACGTTTCTATATATTCTATAGAAATTTTATGCAATATTGTTTACGAGTTAGCGAGCAAGCTTGTTTTCCGCGAGAAGCCAGATAGATGTCGTTACTGAGGTTATATGTTTTGAGATACTATGTTTTCAAGAACAAGTTTTTCAAAGAGTTACGTCTGTTTGTCTGTGGCTTTACTTCCCTTCCGAAGTTGAATAACCCCTATCAAATAGAATAAATACTAGACTGTCCATAAAAGCATACCTATCAGAAATAACGCTATTGAAAATTTTATTTCTCCGTAGGCTCTTATGGATGGGACAACCTAGTTTTGGCGTTTTCCGCGAAATTTTCTGAACAAAACATGTAACGTCACAGTGTAAAATGCAGGTAGTTTACAATCGATTCTAATGGATAACTTATTTCCATATCCATATGAGACTGTTATGCTTTTATGGGCAGTAGGGGTGTTCACAAAGCACATCGTAAACATTTACACTACCGTAACATTACCAGAGTCTATTTAAGTGTACTATGTTAATAGGTTCTCCTAATCCATGTGAAAAAAATCTAATCAAACAGCAGATCGAATAACTGCGGTCACAGAAAAATAATGTGTGAGGACTGCGGTTTTCTCTCTTCATGCCTGTTACTTTTTCTACGCTGGTAACAGGTAACGTCTGTTTTGATAAAACTTAGAAGAAAATGCACTCCCCGTTAACACTCAGGTGATACTGAGATTAGCACAACACTTAGCAGATACTGTACATATAAGTGCCTAACGAATACATGCTACAATTTTGAGCTCTGAGAGACGTCCCGGATTTATTTTAAGACACAAAGCGACCAGTGAATTACCTAAATGATCTACCTACTGATTTAGAATTCTGCTCATAATCGTATATAGGTCCGATCTTTGCTTAATTTCCTATTCATATGGGACAGCTATGCTATTATCGGCAGAATAGGTTTCCATCTTTCAAGTATGAAACATATGTTTCAACTCAGAAGCATGGACGAACAGCTAAACTATTCTATGCTACTGTTCGACCTTGTTGCAGTTTACGAATTACTCTACGGAAGTCGGATAGAACAGTAATATAAGTATCAAAAAATAGTGACTCACCACCGACGTCTGACTGAGAGCCATTATTTGGAGAGACGCTTACTTCTGGTGCTCCAAATAGTGTCGTCTGCCGCCCAGAACGGCAGAGAAGTTCCGCAGAATGAAGTGCGGCGACTAGATTGTTCCTTTTAGTGGCCTTCACGGAAGTTGACCTGCTACTTTCGGGAACGGCTAAATGCTACCGTCTGTCAATATGGTTTTACGGCCGTTCGTTTCCCGATTTTAAGATGATTCCGTGAAATACTGATAGAATGGTTTTTTGACTTGCCAACTGAACGGAACTATGAACAGAGGTATACAGTGGGAAGAAACGTAGCGAGACGAAAGATGGAAAATATTCACACAAGAGATTTTTCACTTCGTAACTTCTCCGGAGTCAGCGGATGGGATATAGTTAAGATTCTAAACGGGTGCTTCCAGCGACTTAAGGCAGCGGAATGTGCCACACTATTTCGACACTGCCCACGGATTCTTGACGCGAGAAGACGGAACTTCTACGCAGGATTCGGAAGATATTCAACCCCAGGTGGGGAATAGGTTTCGCCAGAGCGCAGTGAAAAAGCGAAACCAAAATTTTACGACACGACACTTTTCCTTATATACGTTTCGAACTGTTCTGGCACCGTCGGGTAGTAGCACTGATCTCAACTGGTGCAAGCGAGAAGCACTGCTCCCGTCAGACGTGTCTATCACCAAGGTGCTAACAATAGGTAGGATTCGATCAGCTTTGTCTTCACGTTTAGAATGAGACCCCAAATTAGAGTAATGAATTAACCATTGGCTGACGGAGCTTACACACTCATTTTTTACTGCTGGAAACCAGCAAAATTTTGCTCCATGGATTTTGCCGAGCTGGAAGTTCAGCAATCTTTACAGCAAAATATTTTTGCTGGATGACCAGTAATATGGATTGAAGTCAAAATGACAACACATTACTGAAAAATCAGGAATCTTTACTGAATGTACAGCAAAGTTGAGTAACAAACTTTTTGCTGGAATCTCACACGGAACCCTGCATATTTTAGTTATCCAGCAATCAAAGAGAAAAAATCGTTGGCCAAAAAAATTATTGAAACGTTTCCCATACTGACATCCACGAAGTTGACAGAAAGTTCACCAGAATATGTAAGTACTTCCGATAGGTTTTCCTCAAACATATATGAGTGCCTGTAACGAAAGTGACGACACCTCACCTATTCCAGGTTTTGTACTCGATTATTATGTTATTATTATAATGACAGATAATCTATTCTCCAAATTTGGTGTGTCGTATCTCTCTTTATAGGTACTCCATAAAAAATAAGTATGGATAGGTTGTTGAAATTTTTTGAATCCTTTTCACCTTTCAGTCGTACTTTTTCTGGAGGAATGCTGGCAAAGGACCGAATCACGAGCATTCAGGTTTGATCCATTCACATCTACGCAATGCTGCTTCAAAACATTTGAGATCGACAGACAGGAAATTTGGGGCCTCCCTTAGCTCAGTCGGTAAAGGCGCAGCTACAAAGCAAGACCATGCGTTTCAACCGGAATAATAGAGCTTGCTGAAGAATGCGCAAACAAGGATGGGGTATCCGCCAATTTTAAAGCTATCATGAGAGGCATGGAAGAAACACACTCCCTATACGTTATGATGTTGCAAAATAGAAGGTCGTTTTCAAGCATCCTACAAACATTTCCACACTTCAGGTCATTTCACGGAGTATTGGCAAGTTTTATTTTATGATTGTTATTTGACAATTTTATTCTATTTTAGTATTTACAAGATTCAAAAAACTTACGAGCGCATCACACCCAACTACGACAAAAACAGCATCCTGGTTAAGATTTTTTTCGACAGGGTTAATGGTTGAACAAGGCATATTTTCAGGAATTCAGGACGGTAAGCACATATTGTTTTTTGACAATTATGGATCCACCGACAGACTACGATGTTCTTGACAAAATCTACAATTTTACAGAAATTAGCACACATGCCTTGTAGATGTCTCACCTACACTACCCATAAAAGCATAACTGTCCCATATGAATAGGAAATCAAGCAAAGATGGGACAATTATGCGAGTATCGGTAGTGTAGGTCTCATGCAAAATATGATTGCAATGTTTTAAATATCTTTTTATTTGCACCTCCGCATTAGATAATCTTCGAGGATGCCTACGGATTATGCAAGCTCTGAGCCGACGAGGTTTGAAACAACAAGAAAGAAAGCATGATAAGGATCTAACGATCGAACACAAGATTGCTTCAGATTTGGTCCGTTTTGTACCGGTAATTTCAAGGCATTTCTTTAAAAAAAAAATCAATCTATTTTTTAAACTATTTTTGCACTTCTAGGATACAGAATCTTCCCTGGCAGAGCAACTTGCAAGATACGTTGCTTGTAATGTTGAGCAAGGTGCATCTGTAGCACCACACATCATCTCTCAAGGCGATGAGTATTTCATTTACATTCTGGGAGAACTCATACAGTGCGGAGACAGCTCAGCACAAGTGCTTGACGTTTTTTTAAATGCTTTTCAGTATTCAATGTGTCAGTTTCACCACAACTACAAAAAATTAAAGATTTCGTCAGGGGGAACGACACTTCAAGATTATCCCATTTTTACCCAAACCTCTCATATAATTTTCAACGTGCACAAAATTTCAATCCATCCTATCTATTCTTTCTACACTCAAAAAATTCCACACGTCATCATCATGTGTCTCACATTTGATTTTGCGCTTATTGTGAAACACATTCATTTCATGTGTGAATCTTATGCTAAAGGGTGTCCACGATGAAATTGCCACACACAAAATTGATTCGCAAAATTCGAGTTTTCATCCGATTGCCATCAAATTTTCAGAGATTGAGAAATAACTATTAAACTTCATTTTACCATTTTACTCATATTTTTTTTACAGTCCATACGCAAATGCCCGCACCTTGGCCTTAACCCCGGCCATAAGATACTGCACAACCTGTGAATCAACCGTTTTTTGCATGTAAACCCATGCTTTCTTCAGTTCCTCGGCTGTCTTCACTACCTTAGGTCGTTTAAGAAGGTGCTGCTTCATAATCGCCCAGTACTTCTCGATGGGGCGGAGCTCCGGAGTGTTGGGAGGGTTGAACATTTTCGGCACGAAATTGACCTTATTGTCCGCATACCACTTCAGCACGTCCTTGGAGTAGTGGCATGAGGCCAAATCCGGCCAGAAGATTGTTGGGACGTTGTGGGCCTTCAGGAGAGGAAGCAGCCGCTTCTGGAGGCACTCTTTTATGTACACCTGTCCGTTCATCGTGTCCTGGGTCACGAAAGGTGCAGTCCGCTTCCCGCACGTGCAGATGGCTTGCCAAACCAAGAATTTCTTCGCAAATTTGGACATCTTCTGAGTGCGGACATGCTCCGGAACGCTCAACTTATCCTTGGCCGTGAAAAACAGGTTGCCGGGGATCTGTTTGAAGTCGGCCTTCACATATGTTTCGTCGTCCATGATGCAGCATTCAACTTTCGTCAGCATGTTGAGGAACAACTTCCTGGCACGGGTTTTGGCGGACTTGTTCTGCTTCTCGTCGCGATTAGGGGCCTTTTGTACCTTGAACGTTCGAAGCCCAGCCTTAGTTTTGGCCTTCTGGACAAAACTTCGGCTTAGGTGCAGCTTCTTAGCCACATCCCTAACGGAGGCGTTCGGATTTCGGTTGAAGGCCCCAACTACGCGGTTGTGATTTTTGGTGTTGTACGGAATACTTTTTTCTTCACTTCTGGGCTTCCGATCGGTGGTCAACCGTTCCTAGAACCGCTTAATCACTCGCGACACCGTGGAATTCGCGATTCCCAACGTTTTAGCGATGGAACGATGCGAGAGATCCTTGTTCTCGTGATGAATGCGCAAGATTTTATCACGCACGAGCTGTTCTTTCGACTCCATTTCCGCGAGGTTTGATCACAGGACTTTAAAACTTGCAGGATGTAAATAATGCACTATGAACTAAATCCACCCAAATTTTCATTAAATTCTACCCAACGGTTAAAAAGTTAGAGCAATTTCATAGTGTGGCAATTTCATCGTGGACACCCTTTATGAACCATGTCTGAACACTATGGATTTGAATTATGACACACTTGGATTCTATGTGCCTCGTATGGTGATATCAATAGCTTTGCACATCATAGTTCAATATTCTACTTTATCGACATCTACTTTACCGACTCTAAAAATTAATCGACCAATATATAAACAAAACTTCCAGAGGCCAGAGCATTCACATATCTTTTTAATGGATCTGATTTAGGATTCGATCATGGACTGTTGGGGTTTGCTGCTGCCGGGTTCTTCGTTCGATCCCACTGTGCCATGGCTGTTCTCATTTATGAGGCGGGTTGATAGGATAAAGTCACAACTCTTGTTTTCGATGTTTACCTTTATGAGCAAGCAATTCACATCGTATTGAAATGCAAAACACTTTAAATCCATCTGTTTTGAACAGTAGTGTGATTCAATGTGCAATACACTTGAAAAGATAGTGAAATATTTTCAACATTTCAAAATTTGAAACACCAGAAATTAACGTGTATAACACATTGAACCAAGGTGAAATACACTTAAAGTAAATGTGATTGCGCATTTAAAAAATCAAGTGTTTAAACACTTCGATCAAACGTGTGGAATTTTTTGAGTGTATTCCCAACTTATCCCTTCTGCATGCACACAAATTGTCAAGCAAGCCGTGCAGTTTCTCGAAGTTTTCAGGTCGACCGCGAAGCACTCTGCCATACTCACTGTCAGTTAACAACACTCTCCACAACAAACACCACGTATGTCAGCTGACCATGCCGGTAAAAAATCGGTGCGAAAACTAAAAAAAGATGACGGACCATTCGTCTCCAATCGGTCTCGGGGGCAAAAAACATCAAGTGCATCACGGAGGAGACGGCAACGCACTAGGCAACGCACATCCATTTCCCGGACTCAAACCGATCGAATTCGACGGATAAGAGCCCGGGTCTCTGTGTGTTGTAGCATGGAAGTTACCGAACAGGCGCGAAGCAACTGTTGATTTCGTTCGAACGGCTGATTCTAGCCCCGGGAAAAGCCTTACCAATGAAACCCCCTACACAGCAAAAAAAAAATGTAATATCGATCAATGTAATTCAAGCTGATGTATGAAATAATGATGTAATAGCAAAAAGCAGATACAATATTACATCAATGGATGTAATTTTGTTCGCAAAATCGATGTACATCGTACAACGTTATATTACACAACCGATGGATTGACCTGGTTGCAGCAGTTTGGATGTAATATTCAACAACTTTTTTTTCTGTGTACGACAAGTAGGTGGAAAAGGAATTCAGGTCGTTTTTTTTTCCACTCGGCCCAAGTTTTACTCGTCTCTGCTGCTGGTCAAGGGTTCGGATAAGAAAGAGCTAATGGTGAAGTAAGACACCCACCGGGTGATGTATTTCTGTGCGAGAATATTGCGGATCAAATTCCCGTCCAAATACAGCTGGGAATATTAACTGGAACCTTGTAATCCATCGCCATCACCCGTTCATCCTACTGTGCAGTTTCGACCTTTTCGGTGCGGAACCGTTTTCTGCACTTGAGCTGTGAGCGGTGTCCCGAGCGGTGTCCATTAATTTCGTTTCGCTAAAAATCAATATGTTTGACCCCCCCCCCCCCTTTGGAACAAAACGGTACACTGAAAATGACCCCCCTCTATTTATTACGCAACGCTCTATAAACCCCCCTCCCCCGCCTTTTCATTTATAATAAATAAATTGATTTGTTTGATGATTTTAAGATAAGCTTTGTTTGATTATTTTAAGTTGAACTTTGGCATTTTTTACTCGTCATGTTTTTCGGTAGTGGATAAAAAGTACCCATTTTTTGAGACAAAAATCTCTATCCAGCTTTCTATGCTCGGTAATGGCGGCCTGTTTGTATGAATAAATGTATCCTTCACTGTGCTATCTGGAGGTTCGGATTTTGACCCTTCTCTTTCCCTCTTCCAGGAACAGAAGAAAATGGAACAACATACGCCCTCCAGTTAGTGTCAAAAAGCACAGTGAAGGATACATTTATTCATCCAAACAGGCCGCCATTACCGAGCATAGAAAGCTGGATAGAGATTTTTGTCTCAAAAAATGGGTACTTTTTATCCACTACCGAAAAACATGACGAGTAAAAAATACCCATTTTATGAAGTACTCGTCAAATACTCGCATTAATGAGTAAAGTTCGTTTTACTCATTTCATGAGTTAAGCCACTTTTCTTCGAAATGGGTACTTTTTTACTCATTAATGGGTACTTGAAGGTTAGCGTGTTTGGTTAAGGAGTAAAGAGCTACAATTGGCGTTGACGGCGACTCTGTAGCTCTTTACTCCTATGAGAAAATCCATAAGCAAACGTCAGACTGTGCGTGAAACATGGCGGACTTTGTACTATCCTTTCACTCCACCGAAAATTCCCATAAGAAACTGTCTAAATTTGCTGGAAGAGCAAATTTTTCGACGGTGCCGTCAACGCCAATTTAACGAGCGGGAGCAATAATGAATTTCGCCTAACCTGTTTACATTATAGTCGCTATATTCATAGTCTGGCGAATAGAATCTCGGGAACCAATTGAGCTGTCAAATAGCGGAACCAATCGAGCAAATCACGACCAACAACCAAGGGGGGGAGGTGGCTGTCAAATACGAACAATCGTCGCCTACCTCGCATGCCTCGCATAACTGGTTCCAAAGGTAAACAAGCCATAAGAAACCTACAGCGATTGTTTACGTTTGGAGCCAGTTTCATACAAGAATGATCAGTAGGCTGATTTGACAGCACGTCCCCCCCAGCCAACAACAGAAAAGAGCTCATGATAGATCGAAATTCTATCCGCCAGACTATGAATATAGCGACTATAGTTTACATTATACATTCGGCTCAACTCTCGGTGTTTTTATTCGAATTTTGTTTACAAACTTCCGTGATATAAATAAAATATTTTTTTTTATCATTTATATTTATTATATCTCAAATTGTGTGTTAATTTAGACTGTGGTTAATGTTCGTAATATTCTCCAAGCATCCAATATATTGACTAAAGTTCAACAAAGATGAATGGCTGTCGGGTTTGTATGACGGAGGAAGCTGATGTTTTCCTATCGTTATTTTCAAAACCGGAACAGATTCCGATTGCCGAGATGGTAAATGATCTAACCGGGTTAAAGGTGAGACCCGTTCAATAACGTGCATCCAGTTTTCTAAATATTGCATCATTCTATAGATATCAAAGGGCGATGGTCTGCCGAGATTCGTCTGTAAAGAATGTTCCGAAGATATACTGAGAAGTTACAAAATCAGATTGAAATGTTTGGAATCTGACCGACAGCTTCGCTGCGCTTTAGAGAAGACTTATCAAAGGTAAGTTACTTAACGTGAGAAAATGAGGCCCTGCTTAACATATCCTAATATTTCAGGATAAAAATGGTGGAGTTCTACCTCCAGAAAGAAATTCAAAAAGTTGAACAAACCGCAGAGAAGACTTCTGCTGATATTTCTCCTGAAGATTTGAAAAATGTTGTATGCGACGAAAAGTTGATGGAAATGCTTCAATCCGGAAATCAATTGATAGAGGTCCAAGAAACTCAAGAAGCAATAGCTACGGTTTCAATCGCAATCGATAATAATCAACAATCATCAGACAAATCTTACATCAAACAAGAATGTGGAAACGATTCTACTGCTGATAAGGCAACTGATGTGAAGGATAGTGATAAGGAGGAAGATTTGTTTTTGAAAGAATCTCCTAACGTAACAACTATTCAACAAGCGAAACCGCTGGAGGAAGGTTGCAGTTCTGTTCAGAATGCTCCAGAAGAAGAACTTGACTACACAGAAGAATATCTGGAAGTAGCCGGAGACACAGAGGAAGTACAATACACGATCAGTGCAGTTGGTAATATAGAAGAAGTTTTACTAGTAGAAAAGGCAGATTCAGAATATTCACAAGATGAATATAGTGGAAAATTTATTTGCTGTGGTTGTGAAATGCATTTCAATACAAATGAAGAACTTATTCAGCATTCTGCAGAAGAACACGAGAAAATGAGACTCAAGAATAGCGCCAAACCCTTCGAATGTACCGTTTGTTTTAAGCGCTTTCTCAGTGAACCACGATTAATTCTACATCAGACATATGTTTACCGCGAGAAAAATCATATATGCGACAAATGTAACGCCAAATTCACCTGTAGAGGTTCTTTACTAAACCATCTGAAAACTCATGCCGATCGAACGTACGTTTGTGAGGATTGCAACAAATCATTTCATACCAGCAGCACTCTGAAGTCTCATCGTCTCTTGCACACGGAATCGAAACAATTCAAATGCACGGCACCGAACTGCGAGAAAAGCTTCCTCCGCAAGTCCGATTTACACATTCATCTGGTGTCGCATTCTGATGAGCGTCCATATGAGTGCGAATTGTGTTCGAGTCGCTTCAAGTCGAAGGCACATTTGGTTCACCATGGGAAGGTCCATACTAAGGAAAAACCGTACAAATGCAACCAATGCGACAAAGCTTTCGGAACGTATTCTGCGAGAAAGTTTCATCAATTAGCCCATGAAGGAATCCATCCGTACAAGTGTAACTACTGCGATAAGATTTATCAACGCAACACCAAACTGCAGGTCCACATTCGTCGCATTCATACCGGGGAACGTCCATTTGCGTGTGATTTGTGTGAAAATGTGCGTTTCTATCAAAACTGGGAGCTTACCGCGCATAAAAGGATTGTACATCAATCGGAAATGGCAAACGAATGCAGTAGGGATTCTGCAGAAGGTGGTACAGAGGAAGATGAGGAAGATGTCATGGAAGAAGAATATATTACGGCTCCAACAAAACCGAAGCGAATAAAATCGTCGCCTAAAGACGAGCCCAAAGAGTAAAGATTCGTCAGTACCTACTACCTACTATACATTACGGTATGACTTGTCACCTTAATAGTCTCCAAGTGTATTTCCATGTCCATTTTCATTGAAATAAAAGCTGCGTGCTTTGATATTAAAACGGCCTATCATCTCTGGATTGAAAAACACATAATAAAACCTGAATTTATCCGCTTAATGTGCGATTTGACCCTTCATACTTATTTGAATTAGGATAAAACTATGTTATTTTAGGGAAGTTTTGTAAGAAAAGTTCTGAATATCTGTGTTTGATTTTTTTATGCGATACTTTTCGACTCATGGGCCATGGCAAATTTTGGCAAAATAATCGGTGCTAATAATCCCAATGCGAATTTTGTCTTTAGTTTACGTCATATTCTGGGCATTCTGGCCACTTTGCCATTTATACATTTATACCGATTGTTTAAAATTCGAATATCTCAAATATACCTCAATATATGTACCTCTGAGAGTTTTTGAGGGATTGTAATCTATTGGATGCACATTTTGAACAGCTGATAAGATTTTGCAATCACTATCGTATTTTGAGAAAATTATTTCTGATAATCATGATATTAAAAAAAAATATATATATATATATAGCACCCAATCACGCATATACAAAACGTGGAATATAATGCTGAAGGCTAATATAAAAATGTAAAGCCGCATATCAGCCTTATATTGTAAAAATGGCCCTTATCAGACTATTAACGGGCTTGGTGTGATGTGATGTGATTAGAAGCCACCACCAGTGCAGGACTTGCCATAACGTACGGTTCCTTTTAATGGCAAGATCAGACTATGCAACCCTGCAATCTTTACTGTTCCGTTGTGTGAAGGGCCAAAACGGAGGTGTGGACCTGTAAGCTGATGCACTTACACGATATCCACTGTAGGGATAGAGAATCTCCTTCCAACGGAACGCTCTAATTACAGGACATACATAGAATGCAATACACATTAAGATTTCCGTCTGGCAGTTTGTTCGAAATAGAGTGCATCAGACTCACTGTAGACTGTTAGAAGATAACTATACCCTCGAAAATATCGATATCGTTGTTATTAAATATGTTTTAATTCATACTTATTATTAATTAATTCTCTAAACAAGGCACTTTTTATCATAGTTTTATCATTATTAACCAAATTTATATTATTATTACCATAATTTGTTTTTAATTATTTATAACTGAATGTTAATGTTCATTATTATAATTATTATTGTTATCCTATTCCGCTGTTGTTCACCTAACACACTGATGCTGTAACATCTTCATATTTTATTCTCAAACTAATTATTTATTCATCTTCTTCCCCATCTGAAATCTCGCTTTCATGCTGCTTATATATCTCCTCTGCTTTCTGTTTTAATTTGACTTTGTCTATTGGATGCACATTTTGAATAGCTGATAAGATTTTACAATCACTAGCGTATTTTTGAGAAAATTATTTCTGATAATCATGATATTAAAAAAAATATATTTAGAGTACCCAATCACGCAAATATCAGCCGTATATCAGCCTTATATTGTAAAAATTGCCCTTATCAGACTATTAACGGGCTTGGTAGTTATTTACGAGGGACGACTCTATCTACGATGCAGGAAAAATATATTTTGCTGGTGTTAGCTACGCGCACTCTGAGTAGACAAAAAGCAGAATGATGACGATTCTGATGATTAGTGGATAGAAATCACTATCGGGGAGCATGCCATAGGCTCGAAACGTGTACTGAAATACCTGGGAGTGATGATCAACGACCGACTAAACTACAACAGCTACATCGAGTATGCCTGCGTGAAGGTGACGACCCCAATAACCTTAAGCATTAGTACAAAGCCTTAAATCTGCTTTACTTCAGCATTAATAGTGCTTATTACCTCATAGACAGCATTGTTAATGCTAAGAAGCCTTTAATCAACAATGCTTATGCTATAAGCACAGACAAACAAACATAACACTCGCAAGATGTTCATCGAACAAGCATTTAACGGTCAATTTAAAAGTATCATAGTTGGTAGTACCAACCGGTGGAAACTAACGATTTTAAATTGGCTCACTACTTGACTAGCCTATTTGTCCCAAGCAAATCGTTTAACGTAAACCATTCTAGTCGAAATTCTAGTGTTCGATGATTTGCGCATCCCTACTGCGCTCCCCAACCGCAAGACTTTGGCACACCCTGTGCGATAACAATTCAATTACAACACACAGTCCTTTTCTGTTCTTTTGTTTGACCGAATAAAGTTAGTTGTGCTCCATAGTCATGAGAATCGAGACGCTTTTTATTAGATTGACTATTGATTGTTCGTAGAAACCGAACCCCCAAAATTTACAGTCCACTCGATACCGTTAACAAAGTGGTCCTTCGAGCCGGATCCTCAGAAACCGGTGGATTTCGACGCGGTTTACGTGAATAAAGTACGTGAATTTCGATCCGAGCATCGGTTTTGTACTGCGGTCGAACCGGTGTTAGTGACGCGCTAGCAGCTTGGCTCAAAGCGGTCGCTACATGTGAAAAGTGAAAGAAGAATTCCTATCTGATCCGTTCCGAAACGTTTCCGACGCTAAGGCGTTTTCAAGTGCATTAGTGCCCTTTTCTAAAAATTCGTACAGCTAAAGCGGGATTTTTTTGCAAATGGCGGTTTAGTTGTGTGCGCGAGTGAAAAAGAAGATGCCACCAAAGACACCGAGAACGCCTGTACAGCCAGCTACACCTGTTGCTGAACAAAAAGTGGAGAAGAAAAAGAAAGAAGAAAATAAAAGGATGGAAGAGCAGCTCAAGGGGCTAGTCAATCAGAGAGTGGCAGTTCATGGCAAACTGGCCCGTGTTAAGCCTGGTACGCAGCTGAAAAGTAATGACGTTTTTACGTGCTACGGGATAGGACACGGAATGCAAAAGAAATTACTTTTCCTCAGCATTTCTTGACCCAGTACGCAGTTCAAAAGAAATCGGTAAAGGAAAGATCGATTACATTAGTATCGTGATCGACATGAAGGTGGCGCATTCTGAATGCAATTTCACTTTCCTTGCGGAATAATGGTCTGACAAATTATTCCGTTAGGTAATTTTAACGTTTGTTGTAAAAATAATGTTTTGGATGCATTTAAACAACATAAACACTAATAAGTGTTGATTTTACAATTTGACGACATCTCCCTATAATCTCAAAATTTAGCAGCCTATAGCTGTCAAATTTTCTTTTGGGAAAAATCCTCAAAAATTACTTTTCCGTTTTCTTTTCAGCTGCGTACCAGGCTTTAACACTGCTTTGCAGTACAGTGCGGATGAACCGAATCCGAACATTAGAAACATTCATTTTCTTCAGTTCCACAAAAAGGCTGTAGAGAACTGTTATAACGAGTGCAATAGTATTCAGAATCAGATTTATGTACTACCACTCTCTGAAGACCGCCAATAAGAAGAAACCGAGAGCTACATCGAATTCGAGTCGCTATACAACGACGTTTCCGTTCAATTGTGTATGTTGATCGAGGCGGTGACGAAAACAGAAACTGATCTGATTCTCCCGGTCGGACATCCGAATCCAGTTCCACCGTTTCTAATCCATCCGTATCTCCCACCGCTACAAGTGCCCTTGCCGACATTCGACGGCTCTTACGAAAAGTGGTATTCGTTCAAGTCTTTGTTTACCACCGTGATGAACCGCTACCAGCAGGAGGAACCAGCATTGAAACTGTTCCATCTGCGAAACAGTCTTGTCGGGCAAGCAGCTGGCATCATCGACGAAGATTTGATAAATAATAATGATTATGATGCCGCATGGATGTTGCTTACACAGCGGTACGAAGATAAACGTGTCGTTGTTGACAAACACGTTGAAAATCTATTCAACCTGCCGAAGGTTAGCCAGGAGAACGCAGCAAACATGAGGAAATTGATCGACAGCAGCACCAAGAACGTGGAGGGCTTGCGGCATCAGAACTTACCGGTGGATGGACTCGGAGAACAGATGCTGGTGAATCTTATCGCAGCGAAGATGGATAAAAGGCTCCGGGTGGCCTGGGAAGCCCGTCAGAAGAAGAATGTGCTATCGACGTACGCTGCAACGATAGACTTTCTGCAAGAGCAGTGTCGAATTTACGAAAAGCTCGACGCGAGTATGAAGCTGTTGACGGAGAGTGCTAAACCGAAAGCGATGGCTAGGAGCCATACGCTAGTGACAAGTGATATGAAGAATGACAAGTTTGAATACAAATGTCCAGTGTGTAAGGCAAGCCATGAACTTTGGAAGTGCGAGGCCTACAAAAACAAAAGTGTCAGTGAGAAATACGAAGTGCTAAAAAGGTGCGGCGCCTGCTTCAACTGCTTAGGGAGAGGCCACCGAACCAGTGCATGTGCATCGTCACGTTCTTGTCGGGAATGTGGCAAGAAACATCACACTACGCTCCACGTTGAAGACGCATGCAAAAACGTGAACAGCTCCACTTCCTCAAATACGACTGATTCTTCCACGCCAGTCGTAAAACCAGCTGGAAACCTGATGACCAGCACTACAGCAGGAACGTCAACAACCCTGTGTGCTGAGAATTCCGAGAAGCAGACCCTGCTTTCTACTGCCGTTGTTTTGGTCAACGGCTTGTGTAGCACTCCATATCCATGTCGTGTGCTTCTGGATTCCGCTTCGCAAATGAATTTTGTGACAGAACGATTTGCAAACCTACTCTCACTGAAAATGGTACCTGCTAACTTCACGGTTAGCGGTCTGAACGGCAAGAAAACTAGGATTTGCCGTATGCTGCGCACCACGATTAGGTCTTGTCACGCTGACTTCGCTACTGACCTAGATCTACTGGTTACCCCACGAATCACTGGTGATCTGCCGGTGAAATCATTCGATGTTTCGGAGTGGCCCATCTCGAGCGAGCAGGTGCTGGCCGATCCGACGTTCAACAATCGAGGACGTGTCGATATGTTAATCGGCGCTGAATACTTCTGGAACCTGATGGAGGATGGCCAAATCGAACTTGGTTCGAATCTTCCAATACTACGAAACACGAAGCTGGGATGGATTGCTGGAGGAATAATCGCGAGCGATGCACCTGTCGTTGCGCGCACTTTCTGTCAAACAACTGACGACGACCCGATCATCGATCTGCTGAAGAGCTTCTACAGGGTGGAGGCTTGTGATGAAATTCGCCCATCCGCTACAGCGGATGAAGAGAAGT